TTCTGTCAGTTATTTTGATGAATAGAAAAAGGACGACCTTCTTCCAGAAGGCGCATCTTGCAGAAATTTGGGGGTGAAGGGAGAAGTGGGGTGTCCTCGGGTGCCCTTAGAAAAAAAAACCCAATTTTGTGCTTGCACATCCGGTGCCATGGATGAACCCCATAATGAAACAAGAGAAAACAGATAGCAAGCTGGAGTCGGGGCAGAAAAAAATGTCTGGCGCGGAATGGGAAGATCAGTGGGGCGCTCCCCTCCGTCTAACTCCAACTAATTGCTTCTCGAGGCGCCCGTTGGGTTACAAATGGCCGTTTGGATCAGTTTCCAAAAGGACAAAGACTCTCTCAAAAGGAGCTGCTCCAGCGGCTCTGCGCGACAGCAGCGGCTCCTTCTATATGCATGGTACCATATGCACAATTCGAGTTTTATGTCCATTTGAGAGGACAAGTCACAGAATAGATACTCATAAATTTCTTAACAATCGCATGTCGAGAATAGTGGATGAGAGGCCGGGACACGAAATTGTTCAAGAAAAAGGAGCCGCCTGTTCTAGAAGAGCATCGTCACGATTTCCGAAAAAACTGAAACCAGGGATGTTTGAAATGGTCTTTTCAGAATTTTTCGAAATTTCGAAAATTCGATTTCCAATATTTCGGAATTTCGGAATATTCCGATTTGGAAAAATTTGACATTTAGGAATATTCCATATTTCAGAATTCAAAATAAAAGAATATTCCGTTTTTGAAAACTTCGGAATTTTAAAATTAAAATCTTAGGTAGAAATTTTTCAACTTGGAACACCTAAATATTCCGTTTTTAAAGCTTTCAAAATTTTGTAGTATTTGGAATATCAAAAATTGAAAAATTTCGGAATATTCCGATTTTCAAAACTTTGGAATTTCAGAATTTCGGAAAATACCGATTTTGAAATTTTCGAAATTTCGAATATTGTGATTTTCAAAATTTTGGAATTTCTGAAAATTGTGCTTTTCAAAATTTTGGAATTTCTGAAAATTTTGATTTTTTTTTGATTCGAGATCGGATTATCGAATTTTCCGATTTTTAAAAATTTGAAATATCGGAATATCGGAATATTCCAATTTGAAATTTTAGAAATTTCGGAATTTCGGACTTTCGGAATTTTTAAAGTTGACATTCCGTTTTCCCATCACAAAAACCCCAAGAACCAGTGTAGCTTGGCAGAAAGGAATAAAACAAAAAATATCAACATGAATTCTATTCGAGAGCTGCAAGAAAATGTTTCGCGAGCGCTTTTGTCATACCGTAGTCCAAAAATCATAATTCCAAGAGAAAAGTTTTGAAAAATTCCGATTAGAATTCAATTACAAAAAAAAAGCTTGGGAAATATTCTTTTTGGAATTTTATTCCAGAAATTTTCAGAATTGTGAGAATTTTCGAAATTTTGAATTCTGTTCCGAACATCCCTGATTTTCCTATAATGATTGCTCAAAGTTTTTTCCTGTCTCAAAAATGAACTAAAAACTAGAAAACAAGCAAAAAGTGCTCCAGAGAAAAGAATTAATGGCTAGGCGGGATATAATAAGCGGTAAATGACAAATTGCATGCAAAGGTTGGAACTATTAGGCGTGATCGATAGTGTAAGAAACAAGCCAAAGAGCATGACAGCATTGTTGTAGAAGAAACGTTCATTTTTCTCCAAGACAGACAAGCGGGCCGCAAAATTTGAGCAACGGATTAGACCGTTTATTAGCTCTGATTTGTACGGTCGGTCACGATGTCTCGGGGAGCACAAGTAGTGTTGTTGCCAAACAGTTTATCACTGAATGGCCCCATGGAATAAATGGAAGGAGGAACAAGACGATTATCTGGTGTTTGGTTCTGCGCGCGGGAAACTTTCTACCGTATATATTTATTTTGGAAATATACCAATAGGTCAAATCGCTCTGAAATAATGATGGAGGGAGGCAGAAAAAAAAGTGTTGTAAAAATTCCAGAATCGGGATGCAATCGACCGGAAAAGCGAACGATCGGTTTTTGACCCTGCCTACACACACTACTCTAATAAAATCAAACGAGAAAGAGAAAAGAGGACAATGAAATGCATAATAGGGTATTCGGTATACAGTACCAGGTATAGTATTAGTGATTTGTATATAGGTTTTTGATGTAATGTGACAGAGAAAGGGTAAAAGATGAAAGAGAGATCGTTGGAAGAAAAAAAGATGGAATAAATTTGACTGGAAACATTCAAGGAACGGAAGGAAGTGGGAAAAAAAAAGACAGAGAGAAAGAGCCAGAAAGTCTCTAGAGAATTGGAATCGCTCTTTCTAATTATGCCCTCATTTTCTGCAGGCAGCACCACTCAATTGGAATTCAAACACAAACAATTCGTTCTATTTTTGGAATAATTTCTGGATCACTAACCTTCAGAATGTTCTAGAAAGTACTGTTCCGTGGGCGGAGGGAGTGGTTTGACTCAGTTTTTTTTTTTCATTTTGAAACTTTTTTTGGGTGACGAATCGAGTCGGAATGACTAACAGGAACACTAACTAAAACAAAAATTGGAAGAAAAGGAGGGGAAAGCTTCTGAACGACAACGATGTACAGTTTGTGTCTTTTTGAAGGGAATGTTACTTTTTTTTTGAAAAAGAGGGTTGAGAAAAATGTTGAACAGAAACAGAAAGTCAACAGACAAATATAGAGCCAAATAGACTTAAAACAGGGACAGAGGAACGTTTAAGAGTTTTGTTGGTACGCGACTAGGTGTTCTGACATACTCCGAAATTTTCAAAATAATTGGAAACTTGTCAGGAGCTTCAGACTCCTCGAACTGGCCAAAGTGAGAGAAAATGAACTTTGAAAATATTTTTTGTATTTGTTTTTAAGAGATACTGTATATTGTCGGATTAAAAAAAGTGACACCTGAAAATCTCGGAGACGGCGCTCGCGTCGATTTACGAGGGGGCGGAGCGAAAACAGATACTGTAGATAACACATTTATTTATGTGAATTTAGTGTGATTTTCTGAACAAAATTTTGATTTCTTGGTATTAAAATGATCGCTAGTATCCCTAGAATCTATTTTTCAGCAAAAAACTGAACTCAAACGTGAAAGTAGCTCGAACGAGCCGAAATTCTGAACTATTACGTTTTTGCCGCACTTTTTCGTAGATCAAAAAAAGCAAAAGTTTTCAAATTCACAGGTGTCACTTTTTTTTAATTCGACAATATCTTTCATGTTCCTGCTTATTTGAGAACTGTGAAATTTTCAAAAATGGAACCTGAAAAGTTGGGAGCCGGCGTTTGTGTCGATTTACGTGAAGATGATCCCAACCCCTAGCACTTCTAATTTTTGTCTTGTATGTTCACCAAAAACCTCAAAATTTCAGCAAAAACAGATTATGAACGTGCTAGACATATCATTTTCAACAGAAATTCCGAGTTTGACTTAGAAAGTCCTACTAAATTTGTTGAAATCGATACCATTTCACCTGATTACATGTTTGTGGGCGGAGTTTCGTTAATATGTACCAGCGTCGCCTGTGAGATTTTCAGATTCCAGTTTTTTTTCAGTTCAAAAATATACTGTAGTTCACAAAAAACGTATTATTTACGCGAAAGTTTAAGAAAACAATACTAAGACGCTACTGAATTCTTTTCTCGATTTATCATTAAATTTTAGTGCAAGACTAAGACTACGGTTTTTTTTTTCGATACATTGTGAAATAAATAAAACAAAATGTTCCAATAAATTTCCGAAACTATAAAACAAATTTTTGAGGGACACCATCTGTTAGATTGAAGTATAGAATCAGTGACCCAAGGACACACAAAAAAAATTACTCACCATTTCTTGAGCACGATACTCCTCCTCCATCCTATTTCACTGATTTTTCCTCATCTGTCGTCTTCATCGCCTTCGAATCAATTTTGCGGACAAATTTGTGCTGCTAATCGTATATGCAAATCAGGAGGGACATGAAAAATAGTTGGGACAGAAGGTGCTTGTGAACAAGATTTATGCACTAGTGTGATTTATTATCTTCAAAAAAAGGATTTGTCAAGAACGAATTCCAGTTTTTTAAAATTTGAAATGCGATTTTCTTAAATTTCGAAATTCGCAAGTTTGAAAAATTTTGAAAACTCCTGTGCTGCTCTACAGTAACTCTTTTCCAGAAAAAAAACAAATGCATTTTCACCCTGAAATTAACAATGACTGTATCAGATAATTTCTAATCATGACCATCAAAATACCCACTTCAAATATCTCAATCACTTCTCGGGGGGAGGGGGGGGGGGGGATATCTATTTTCCGCCGCTCTGACCAGATCCTGCCCTTTGTCCTCCCCGTGCTTCTGCCATACAAAAAACCGGTCTATTTTCTCCCGTCGCTCAATCCTGATTTTCAATTTTTGTTTCAATTCTCTTTGCTCATAGCTATGCACTATTTTTGGGGCGAGTAGACAACTTCCGAGTTTGCTTCAAAAACCCATATTTCCACACATTTTCGCACTTGAACATGTAACACCGCATCGCTTCTCTCACAATTCTGCTCCTAAATCCGAACACATTTCTGTAGCGACACTGACGACGCGTGAGCCCCCTTTTTTCGCACCTTTCGAGTACTTTCGTCAACATGAAGATTCGGGATGAGTTTATTGGGGGGGGGGGGGGAGTGTATGGGGAGGAGTGTCTCTCTCTCACTCATCCATTTTCTGTTTAATTATTCGAGGGATTGCTTCTTTATTTGGTCATCAGGGTCATTTTGAAACTGAAACTCTCTCCTGGCATCAAAGACCAATAACTCTTGTCAGGTCAGCTGGTATTCAAATTTTGCTGCTCCTCACGCAGCTAATTTACATGAGCTAACAAAAAGTCGGGAGGATCTGTATAAATAGGTGGTTCTTTGACATATCCCGCTCTTCTGTCAACCCTTTTTGGTTTCTCTGTATAAGTCAGATTGAATTTTCCGTTGTACTTAGCTTTGTTGTATCTTTCATAACTTTCTAATCATTTTTCAGATGAGGTTACTGTACTTAATCACCGTTTTTACTGTAATAGTGTCAGCTAGGTTTTTTGATGTATGTCCTGGAAGAAGGCAGTCTATTGGAGGTATGTGAAATCCTATTTTCGAACCTTGCGATCTGTTTTTAAAAATTGAAAACTGGAAATATAGAAATACTGCTTTGATCTTCAGGTCTGAAGCTCGACTGTCAAGTGTCGGATCACTCTGACAATGTTGAAGGTTATAGAATAGACCTGAATTGAAAACTTTGAGTTTACAGCATTTCTTGAAAGTTCCAAGTTTTTCAGCTTATTGCAGATTCCTGAAGAAGATTTCTTTTTTCCCGTTTGTGTTCGGAAATCGTGAAAAAAGAGGTGTCGCTCAGGAATCGGCCAATAACTAAAAAACTAGGAATTTTTGAAAAAATATGTGACTGCCAAATTTTTTATTTAGGTGTATTTCACAGTGATCGGAAACTTAACATACGAGCTACAGATACCTGAAAATGTTCAAAATGACCAAAAATCATTTAAAAATGCGGTTTTGTATATCTTATTGACCGGTACTGTGTATCAAAATTATCATAACTTTGAACATTTCAGCCTGCCTTGTTGGTCTCTGCCCTGCTGGTTCTGAATGCATCAACTCTTATTGCTGTAGGTCTTTTTCGAAATATCCTAATTTAATCTCAATTTTCCAGGTAAAAATAAAAAATCTAGCTCCACCAACCCTTTGGACATAGTTGAAACTGAAAACGAAGAGACCACTGATTACCCAGCTTGTCCCAATGGTGGAAAATCCATCGGAGAGTGTATCTCAAACTCTTGCCCTCTTGGTTATCAGTGTAGCGCTGGACTTTGTTGTGGTAAGTTGAAAAATAAGTCCTTGGTTCATTTTTAAGTTTGACAAATATTCTAGATGCTCAATACGTTGGTCTCAAAAAGTGGTCTTCAAAATGTAAGTGAACAATAACCACCATAAGAAGATGAATCTCCATATTTCAGCACGAAAAGAGGAAGAAGTTCCCATGAAGTCATCGCCAATCAGTTTGATTACAGTAGCACCCGACGAGGAGTCCGAGAACGAGGCGAAGAAGAAAATGAAGGAGAGCGAGGAAGAGTCTGAAACTGAGCGTAACTCAACGTTTGCTCCGGACGTGAGCGAGAATTGTTGTTTGGAAAAACAAGTTGAAATTTATCAGAAGGAAATTGTTGATGAGGAGGATTCGGAGCTCGAGGAGGAAGAGGAGCAGAGCACCACTTCGACCACTACGACTACCACAACAACTACTTCAGAGCCACCAAGTACAACAGAGTATAAGAGGAAATCTAAAAGGGTTAAGTGAGTGGTCCTAACCTATTAGAAGCTATCTGATTAGGCAAGAGTAAGGAATTTCTAGATCAAAACGCCCAAAAACAACTGCAAGAACAACTACAACTACCACAACAGAGGCTCCAACAACAACAACTGAAGAGATCACAACAACCACTGAAGAGGAGATAACAGAACAGGAAACTCAGACTCCTATTGTTGAAGAAGTCACAGAACCACACTTTGTTTGTCCAGTGGGTGCACCAATCGGAGGTACGAAACTTAGAATTTTTTCCTCAAAATTACAATATTTTCAATTTTAGAATGCATCGCTAACAAATGTCCAGAAGGTCATGGATGTGTAGAAGGTCAATGTTGCATTCTGACTCCTCAAATCAACTGTACCGACACCCTCACCGGATGCCTCTCACATCTTTGCGATCGCAAAGGATACCGACAGTTTATGACTAATAACTGCGCCAAAACTTGTGCTAGATGTCATTTGGTGAACATTGTTAGTCATGGACCATTTTTAATCAAAATCCAAGTGAAATTTTTTTTCAGACTCCAAGTGAGATTCACGACTGCAGGGATCGACGATCGGATTGTGAGGAATGGGCTGCTGAGGGATTCTGTGAGAGTTCATTGTACACGACTCGACAGAAGCTCAAGTTCTGTGGGAAGAGTTGCAAACTTTGTTAATTGTTCAATTATTTAATTTATTTTTAAATTCTTCTGTTTGAAGAGTTTTATTGAAGAGCAAAGTCATTGCTCGGTTTTTGTAAATTTCGATGAAATGAATTTTGATATAATTTTGATGAAGTTTTCGATTTTTTACAAATTTTCCATTTAAAACAATTTTTTTTCATGCTGTAAAACTTTTTATTGTGCTTTTTTTCATGTAAGGAATGCGATTTCATACAAATTACTCGAACAACATGAGAGACAGAGTTTTTAAAGAAGACGTTAATGACAGTTGAGAGAAAAAAAATAGGGACACAGGTTGAAGCCAGCGTTTGAAAATAAAACTTTCAATTAGAGATGGTGTGAGAGTGAGAAAGAGGGATGAGAATTTAGGGAATAATTAGAGTACAGCGAATAGTGAATTAGGACGAATACGAATACAGAAAAAAGAGAATTTTTAGGAGAGTCGAATACACAATTCATCACTGCCGATTGCCTTGAACTGGTGTTGGTCGCATACGGTTGTTCATTTGTTGATTGTCGCGAAGTTGCTGAAAAAAAACGAAAAATTAAAAAATTGTAGTTGTTGAGACTGCGCTTATACTTGTCACCAGAGATGTTCAGAACATAATTCGGAAGAAATTCCAAAAATTCCGAAAGTTCCAACCATTTTCGGGATGAAAATCCAGTCGAAATATTTTCGATAGATTTTTCGGAATAAAATTTTGTTCGGAATTTTTCGGAAGCTTTTTTTTGGAATTCGGGATTTTCAGACTACAGTATACCAAAGTCGCACGCGGAAAATTTGCTTGGGGGTCTCGAACGGAATCCTCTTTAATATTTTTTTGAGCTATCGAAACCTTTCTAAAAATTTCAACCAGTTTTGGCGTTTTTTATGGCAAAAATGGAATTTCTAGTTTAAAATTTGAATTTTAAAAAAAATCCGAAATTTCGAAAATATTAATATCGGAATATTGCAAAACTCCGAGAACTTTGATATCAGAATATTGCGAAATTCCAAAATTCCAAAATTTTCAAAATGGGATTTTTCTGAGATTCCGAATTTCCGAAACTCCCATAATTTGAAAATCTGAATATGGCAAAAGTCCAGTTAACCGAAATTTTGAAAATAGATTTTTCTGAGACTCCGTAATTACAAATTTACGAGGTTTTGAAAATCTAAATATTGCGAAAGTTCGGAATTCCGAAATTTTTGAAATTGGATGTTTCTGAGTTTACAAAATTCCAAAAATCCGAAGTTTAAAAATCTAATAATTGCGAAATTCCGGAAATCCGAAATTTTTAATATTGGATTATTCTGAGGCTCCGAATTTCCAGAATTCCGAAATTTGAGAACCGGAATTAATAGATCTGAATATTGCAAAATTCCGGAAATTCGAAAATTTAAAAACTTGAAAAAAGTTATTCTGAGATCCAGAAAATCCAAAATTCCGAAATTTTCAAAATCGAAATTGTCGACATTCCGGGAAATTTAGAAAAGGCAGCTGCTAACATCCCTGTTCAGAATTTTTAAAATTTGAGCAATGTAATTTTCTATGGGATATTTGAAAAATTATTATTTAAAAGTTAGCTACCCAGGATTCCACAAGTATGGTTTGTACTAAAACTGAATAAAACACTTACCCGTTGATTGTAGCCATTCTGACGATGCGGTCCAGCCGCTTGTCCACCATTCCAGTTACCATTGGAATGTCCAGCATTGCCAAATTGGTAATTGTTGGTGTTTGGCCACATCATGTCTAGTGATGGACCGCTTGGTGGTGCTGGCAAACCTGGTGGTCGGGTGACAGGTCCGCGGAATACAAATGGTCCACCATCTTGATGAGATCCTCCATTGGAAGGTGGCAATCTGAAAAATATTCATCATAAAATTCAAGATATCAGGGTAGAACAAACCTCATCATTTGTTGTGGAGCGAAGTTTTGAGGCGCAAACTGCCCATTCGAATTCTTCATTCCATTCATTGAATGAGACTGCACCGACGATTGCTGCTGCTGTTGCTGTTGACGAGCCATATTCCCGTTGAACATATGACCCTGTCTTTGACTGCCCACTGCCAGATTTGCTGGTGGTAGTGGCGCCCGATCAAAGAAGGGCATTTGATCGTTGCCCATGCCGTTTGGCATTCCATTTTGCAGTCCGCCAAATAGTGGTCGTGGTGGCATGCACGATTTCTGGAATGAATACTATTTGAGTAAAGTCTTGAAGGATGTTCTACATACCTCATTAGGCGCTGGACAATTATTGAAGAATCCATAGGATCCATTCGAACTATAATTAGCTTGCGGGCTTCCTGCAAGCGAGTTCAAGTCAAAGTGTCCACCATTCCACAGCCGTTGATGTGCAGCAGCAGCGGCAGCTGCTGCAGCCGGCGGGTTTGGTATCCGTCCAAGCAGACCATTTTCAAGGAACGCTGGTCGTTGTTTCATATTGTTGAAGTTCATCATGTTGAGATAGCTTATTGGCGGAGATGGGGCGTTAGGATTGAGATGGGTGGCATCTCCGTTGTTGAAGAGTGGTTGAAACGATGAGTAGTGGTTGGAGAATGGTGCCATGCTAACGTTGTTGTTATTATTATTATTGTTTGGTCGGTTTTGGAACATCTCATTCTCTGGATGTCCTTTTGGTGCTCCTGGATGGCTTAGCGGCTTTTTCACATCAGTAGGAACCGTTTTGATCTGCTTATCACCAGTGGCTTCGCTGAGCACTTTCTGGGTCTCCACTGGATCCGAAGGGATGGAATTGGTATTGAAATCCGGATCAAAAGAGAAATCGTAGCCAGCAATATCCACATCAGTTCCACCGATTGGTTTGGGAAACTCTACGTGGCTGGTGCTCTCCAATTTCTTTGGTCCAGACGGTTTTGAGGTTTCCTTCTCTTTTAAAGAATCCTTTGGAGAAGTGTTGGGAGCATTCTTTGAAGCAGCCTTGGCAGACTCTTTTGGAGCCGGTTTCTTCGGAGCATCCGCTGCAGAATCCCACAACTCATCCGACTTCTTAGCAGCGTCAGCAGCTTTTTTAGCAGCAGTTGCCGTGTCGCACTTCTCAGTCACCTTCGCGGCAGCAAGTTTTTCCTTAACTTCCAAACTTTGTGGGCTCAAAAGTCCGTTGGCTGGAAGATGGTCAGCTTCTGAAACGTCAAAAAACAAGGCATTCAATCTTTTTAAATGTAATATCTCACCTTTACGCAAAGCTTTTGGAACAAAAAGACGAGAACCTTGTTTGGGATCCTTGGCCTTCCCTTTTCCTCCTTGATCCTTAGCTCGGGATTTGGCAGCTTGCTTCTCAAGCAACTTCACTTTCTTCTTCTTTCCAACTTCTTGGAATCCATCATTCTCCATTTCGTCCGCCCAATTTGCCACGTTGACATTTGTCACATCTTCGCACTTCTTGGCATGACCATTTGCCATTCTTCGGTTGTCCTCGGAATGCTGGAAATCGATTTTTAAGGTTTTGTGAGAAACATTCTGAACCCAATTAGAGGAAAAAAAACTGTTACTCAAAGAATTGAAGAATTAGCTATCTGTCCAAAACAAAAGTTAAATTATTATTATGATTATTATTTTAAAAACTAAATTTCGCGTCATGCTCTGTCAAATACCTTCTTGTAACGATTTTGATGAAATTTTTGTTTCATGAAAAACCTCTGAAAAACCTCAAAAATGAATAAATTCCCATCCCAGCTCGAGTACATCCCTTAATACTTTTTAAAACTCACTTGAGAAGACACATTACTGCGATGAGAATCCTTCCGTTCTCTCTCCGACAACTTTCCATTGGCATGACTGGTTCTCAGAGCTCCATTTTGGTTTTTGTAGTGTTGGTTGCCTCCTTTGCCATGCTGATGCGGCCGATCCTCTGCACCATTGTTCTCCTGGTTTCCATTTCGAGCTGCTAACATGATCCTCACACCGCTATCGGTATCAATCAATCGTCGAACATCATTGGATGTTGCTTGTTTGCGAGCACGAATCGCAGCTCGAGTGAATTCAGTATCACTCGATTTCCTTGTCGATTCTTTGTTCACCTTGATTGTGGCAGAGTCGTGAACCTTCGGGAAGTGCTGCTCAATGGCTTGTTGCATGACACGTGGCATGAGAGACTTCTGCTGCTGAAACAAATGAAAATATAAATTGAATCACCTAAACTAATAAGTTACCTTCTCGCGCTCCAACGACTCTCGCTCCTCTTTCCGCTTCGCCCACACGTTTTCTGATGGAATTGGAGCCAGAATGATTTGCTCAACTGAAGTCTCCTCTTCCACAGCTGGTGCCTCATCAGCAACCGGATCCGCAGCTGGAGTTGGAATTGGCACGGGTGCCTTCACTACAACAGCTGGAGCCTTCTTCGGCGCTTTTGCCTCTTTTTTAGTTTCCTTGGATTTGGGAAGATTGAGCTCCAGAGCTTCTTTGAAGTTCTTGGCCTCCTTAGTTTCCTTAACATCCTTCTTGGACCCTTTCGACTCTTTGTTGGCCTTCTTCTCCTTCTTCTCCTCTGTTTTCACAGCGGACTTTGGTGCAGCCGGTGCTGGACCAGGAGCACTGTTATCCTTGTCGAATTTTTCAGAATTTGGAGTCTCCGTCGGTTTGGATTCTCCACCTCGTTTGATGATGCAAACCAATGGTTTGTCGAGACGAGTCATTTGGACTTCTGGAAAAAAGACGATTTGTGTTGGAAAATCGGAAAAATACAGTTCCGCTGATTCTCCAGCTGATTTTCGATCATTTTTGTTCATTTTTAGGAGCCTGGAGCTTGGCGGTCAAGTTTCTAATTACTCACTTTGAAAATTGTTGAGGGTGTAAAACACACCTATATTAAAAAGTTGTATTCACAGATTCCCATAGATTTATGTGGTTTTTATAGCTATTCCGCAATTTCTTTCGGACTACGGTATGTCAAAGACGCAGGCAAAAATTCTCAAACTGACTATCGACATATTTTTTGCTTTTTTACCACTTTTTAAAATCCGCGAATTCCAAAATTCTGAAACATTGAAAATCGGAATTTTAGACTTTTCGAAAAATCCGAAAAGACCATTGCTAACATCCCTGGTACAAAAACAGAACGAAAAAAAGGATTCTTTCAAAAATCAAAAGATCCCGTAAATGCGAAATTTTCAGAAGAAATCAGTTTTGTACCTTCCAGAACGTTCAAAGTGATTAGAACCTTGACAAACAAGCTTTACACTCTTCAAAATAGGCGAAAATCAACTAAAAAATCAGTTTTTTTTAAATTAGAAAATGACTTGTTTTTATCTACCTGGAAGATCGGAATACATTTTGTAGTAGACACTGGTACAAAATATAATAATAATACTACTATTTAAAATAATGATGTAAAAGCTAGCTTCTGTTTAATTAGCGTCACTAGAGCATGAAATTTTAATGAGAATGTCAAAAACTTTAAATCATTCTGCACGAGTAGTCACTCGGCGGCTCAATCATACTAACCTAAATCTCGAAAAGGGAATTAGAAAAGGAGGGGGCGTGGCTAAGGGGATGCTCAACAGGATAGTAAAAACCAGCTTCTCTCTTACTCACCATCTTCGTCGTCGGATATATCCTGGAGTAGCAGCTGTTCTGTCGCTCTTTTCAAGATGCGCATTTCGCTCGTCTAAAAAGGCTCATTTCATTTTCTTGATTCCTTCCCCCATTTTTCTTTGAAGAGGGTCACTAGCACCATTTTCTTCGGAAAGGAGTGCATCCCATTTAGCAAATGAGATTCACTGTTTTCTCCGGCCCATCAATCTTTTTAAAACCTACCCGATATTGCCTGAGATCGTCTCTCACGAAGGATCGAAACTCGCCCTCCGAATCCTTATCCGGCCCATAGCTGTCAAGATGGCTCGGCGAGCCGTTCGACGACCAATCGCCGCCTTCCGGTGAGTAGTTACGGTCGCGGTCTTGAGAATCGAATCCTTCGTCTTCGCCTAAACCAGAAATTTTGAATTAGAATATGAAATTGGAGGCTGGGGGTGATAGGAAAGATTGGAAAGATAGTGTTAGTGGCTTAGAAAGAACTGAGAGGTGTTAGAAAATGAAAGTGAGGGGGAATAGACGTGCCCTTTTATAAATGTTTTCTTGGCACATAGTGAACTAGCACAATCACATGAGATCTATGCGAGACCATCACAACAACTTTTCATTGCCGTACACAATTCGGGCTTCGGCTCAAAATATTGTTTGATGTGGACCAACTCGGGATGTCGGAAACGCACGTCCTGACTCGCCACTAAACAAATCATAACCAAATGTTATCACAATTGTTAAGGAGGAAAAATTCAGAGTCCAGACACTCACTGATTCGACTATTGTTGTACTTGGGAGTAGTAGATTTTCCATTGTACACGTGATCTGACGTTGGTGGCGAAGAACCAAGGAATCGGGTCGGTACACCTCCTTCAAAATCGTCCTCCGCTGACATATCCTGGATTTTCTTAGACAGGGATGTCGCAGAAGATTCCCACTTGTCTGTAAAACGGGAGTTGTTGTATAACATAAAGCGATATGAATATAGAAGAAACGAATTGGTTGGTGTTGCGTGAAAATGGCTCTTGTTTTTCTTTTGGGGTGTGTGGTGAGTGTGAAAATGTCAACCAATTATAGATATACAACTTCTAACCACTATAACACATGACATGTTTGTTTATGTGCATTTTTTTGAAATAAGGGGTTGTGTAAATCAATATTTTGAATTGGAAAATTCGCTCAAACCCGCCTAAAATGCATTTTACCAACTCCTAAATGCCTTAAAATTCGAAACAAAATGATGAATAAAATACTAAAATGTAGAAATCGAGGAACTTTACAAAATTATGCCAAATTCAAAATTAGCTTTATGTTAGCTTTATGAGCAAAATTTGCTGAAAAACTGATTATGCTAATCAAGTCGAGTAGCTCCCCACAATTTTAGAGGTTTGATTGATTGGGAAGATAAGATGAAATCGTCAAAATTGTTACTTTTGGATTCAACTTATTGAACTTGGGATTTTAGTTTGAAATTATATAAATGATTTAAGATATGAGTCATCTGAGCATATAAACAGCTTGGTTTAAATTCCAGCAAAATCAATCTGAATGATTGTAGGGGGAAGATTACTGTAGTTAAAACATCTGTCTTCCTTCAATGTCTAGGTTTACAGCTATATTCCATACTTGCAAAATCAGAGCCCGGCCCGCGGGCCGGGCCGGGCCGAGGATTTTCAGGGCCCGGCCCGGGTTCTCCAAATTTGAAAAAAATGTTGAAATTTCGGAAATTTTTTTAAATTTTTTTGTGAAAGAACTATTTTTTATGGACCATCATATCTTGAAAAAATGTTTTTCTTGTCAGAAAAATTCTCCATTTTTTTGTTGACCCCAAAAATAATTTTGAAAGACAGAACATTTTTTTTCCTAACATCCGGGCCGAGACGGGAGCCGAGAATAATGGACAGGATCCGACTACACCCGTGGTTCCTCAAGGCACGGCAGATTGTACTAAATTGAACAGCTGGGTCAAACTGGCGCCCGGGGATGGGGGACACCTGCTATTAA